GAGACATGATAGCCATGTATAAATATGTGAGAGGAAGTCATAGGGAAGAGGGAGCAAGCTTGTTTTCTGCTGTCCCGGAGATGAGGACGCGGAACAATGGCTTCAAACTACAAGAAAAGAGATTCCATCTGAACATTAGGAAGAACTTCCTGACTGTGAGAGCTGTTGAGGAGTGGAACTCTCTGCCCCGGAGTGTGGTGGAGGCTCCTTCTTTGGAAGCTTTTAAACAGAGACTGGATGGCCATCTGTTGAGGGTGGTTTGAATGCAATTTTCCTGCTTCTTGGCATGGGGTTGGACTGGATGGCCCAACTCTATGATTCTATGATTCTAGATGTGCTTTTGGTCTGATCTTCCTGTGGTCGTAACGAATGCCGCCCAAAATGGTAGAGTTGAGCTTTTTGGAAAGCTATATCAATGAAAAGGCACTATATGAAGTTGCAACACTATGTAGACCACCATGCTATCTTGTTATTTCTCCCATAATATATGTGTGGAGCCATAAGACTGAATGATATTTTCTGCTTCATGACAGATATAAGACTACTAATTTACAAAAGATCATTTCATCCAAATGGTGTTCACATTGCAACCCCAGTAATAACGACAAACACACTAGCAGCATGAAAACCTGCTCAGTAAACAGTCAATTCTCCTACATTTTTCTCATCTGTCTGAGAGTGATATTCTTTCCAAATGAACTGAAGCCTGCTCTGAATATTTACCACGCAGATATTGTGTCCTAGCACTGATAAACAAGAAGGAATGCATTTGCGAAGTGGATGCATTCGCTATTTTTCCATCATTGTCAAGGCAATATATTCAAAAGGGTATAGATTGTGGTACTGTATTGTAATGAAAGTGTAGCCTTTGTGCATCTCTTGTTTTAGTATTGAAGATTAATTTGAAACAAGGAGGGACCTGAAGTTCAAACCACTGATGTATAAACAAAAGAGGGAAGAACTATACATTTATAAAGGCCTGCAGTGCTTAATACCATCTAAGTGTCCTTCCATGAAGAAGTCATACATTTAGAAGCAAAGAGAGTGGTTGGTAGGGTTACTCCAAAGAGAAATTTAAGTGGTTTGCATTTTACCTGACAAATGAATAAATGGATTGTCAGTCTATTCTAAGAGAACATGTGTAGCTACTGGGGTGAAAACGTTCAATAGCAATTTTTCCCCATAGGAGCTATCTACTTCACGACATCTCTATTCATTACAGTGATATTTTTTCCCTTTGTGTTCAACATTCTCTTGTCTCTCTTTTCTTCTCTTCCACTCCTTCTTCCTTTCTTTTCCTCCTTCAATTGTATCTTAGTGGAACATTGCTTTGAGCTGCACAATGTACCTGCACTTTGGTTCATGTTCACATCTCATCCATCAGGCAGAATTTCCCTAAAGCAATCTTTATTCTTTGGTAACTCAGTTTTAAACCATGGACATTTTGTTCCAATTTCTAGCTAGACAAATTTTGGCAAAGCATTCACAACCTTGGACCCTGCTTTTAAAGTGTCTCCAGACCCAAGTGTGACTAAGCTGATTTTGTTTTAAACACACAATGCTTGGACCATTTATATACTGTGAAGGCAAATGGGATACTTTGTCAGAGGAAATTTTGTCTGACAAAGTCTTCCACCCCTCCACAATACAGATTTGATCTTACACAAAAGTCTAACTAACAAATCCAGCCAAATCAGCTGTGACATAAAAGATTCTATTTCTATTATGTGTTAAATCTTGAATGACTAAGCAAAGTTTTCACATAGGTGATGGCAAGTGGTTTATTCAACAGCATGCGTAGCAACCCAGCATGGCTCTAAAACACAGGAGAGCCTTCTAAAAAGGACAAAGAGGTGACTAGTTCACAGCTTTCCAAATATTTCATGTTGGTGACACACATTATTTCAAGACACAGTAATTCATTGGGTTGTTGTAGGTTTTTTCGGGCTATATGACCATGTTCTCAAGGCATTTTCTCCTGACATTTCACCCTCATCTATGGCAAGCATCCTCAGAGGTAGTGAGGTCTGTTGGAACTATGAAAAAGGGTTTATATATCTGTGGAATGACCAGTTTCCTAGTTTATTTATTTATTTATTTATTTACTTTGCTTATATACCGCTGTATCTCAAGCCCGAAGGCGACTCACAGCGGTTCACAAACAGTAAAAACAGTAGAAACAGCAGTGGTTCCATACAACATATAACAATTGACTTAACACATTATCCATAAATTACCAATAAGCAATTACAATGCACAATTATTACAAAAAACAACCGTACCCAATCTTCTCATCATCCAAGCGTAGTCCAGGTTCGTCGTCCATTGTTCCATTCCTATGTTCCATTACCAGATTGCACTAAATTACTCAAACGCCTGCACAAACATCCAGGTCTTCACCTTTTTGCGGAATACCATTAGAGATGGTGCTAGTCTAATGTCCGTAGGAAGGGCGTTCCACAGCCGAGGAGCCACCACCGAGAAGGCCCTATCTCTCGTCCCCGCCAGCCGAGCTTGAGAAGCAGGCGGGATCGAGAGCAGGGTCTCCCCGGAAGATCTCAAAGTCCTGGTGGGTTCATAGGCAGAGATGCGGTCAGATAGGTAGCTTGGGCCGGAACCGTTTAGGGCTTTAAAGGCCAACGCCTGCACAAACATCCAGGTCTTCACCTTTTTGCGGAATACCATTAGAGATGGTGCTAGTCTAATGTCCGTAGGAAGGGCGTTCCACAGCCGAGGAGCCACCACCGAGAAGGCCCTATCTCTCGTCCCCGCCAGCCGAGATAGAGAAGCAGGCAAAATACAAAATGTGTGAGTTTGGTAGTTGATTAGATGTCCTTTGACCAGTCTCTGTCCCCTTGGAGTGCCTCTGGGGTTGCCGCAAGAAGGTCCTCCGCTCAGGTTGCATTGCAGCAGGTGGTCAGCGGTTTGCTCTTCTCCGCACTCGCATGTTGTGGATTCCACTTTGTGGCCCCATTTCTGGAGGTTGGCTCTGCATCTCGTGGTGCCAGAGCACAGTCTGTTCAGTGCCTTCCAAGTCACCCCATCTTCTGTGTGCCCAGGGGGGAGTCTCTCTTCTGGCATCACCCACGGATTGAGGTTCTGGGTTTGAGCCTGTCACTTTTGAACTCTCGCTTGCTGAGGTGTTCCAGCGAGTGTCTCTGTAGATCTTAGAAAACTATGTCTAGATTTAAGTCGTTGGCGTGCTGGCTGATACCCAAACGGGGATGAGCTGGAGATGTCTCTGCCTTGGTCCTTTCACTATTGGCTGCTACTTCCCGGCGGATGTCAGGTGGTGCAATACCGGCTAAGCAGTGTAATTTCTCCAGTGGTGTAGGGCGCAGACACCCCATGATAATGCAGCATGTCTCATTAAGAGCCACATCCACTGTTTTAGTGTGTTGAGATGTGTTCCACACTGGGCATGCGTACTCAGCAGCTTGTAACATAGCGCAAGATTATGATGGTATAGAATTAGAATAATAAGGAACAGGTATAAGGTATAACTCTGAGGTAACAACAACTATAATTTCTATGAGGTAAGCACTCTCTATAAACTCTGGGGCATGTACTGTCTATTCTTTATAACATCTACTATAATCTATAAACTTTAAGGCATGTATAACTATAAACTATGGCATGTACATGTACTATGTAATCTATAAGGCAAATATATTCTAATCTATGAGGCAAATATAACTATTCTACGAGGCAAATATATTCTAATCTATGAGGCAAATATGTGCTAAGGATGGCCTGTTTAGACTGCTAAGCCAGACCAGACACTTTCTGGCTAACTACTACAAGCTATGTCCAAACAGAAGAATGGAGCAAAAAGTCTTTCTGCCAAGCTCTGAGCCAGAATGGGCTGAACCAAAGAGCTCGGCCTATAGGGGGAGCCTAAGCTCCTACTCTAAAACTTAGCAGAATGGAACAGTCCAACTACAGGGAACAAACAGAGGGGTAAAAACTAGGCTGAGACTTCACAGTAATAATATTACAATATAGTGGTATAGTACAATATGGAAATATAGAATCCTTGTATTGTGCTATGCTGATAGTATTATATATTTTATGTCTATATATAGTAAGCTGCTCTAAGTCTCCTTCGAGGTGAGAAGAGCAATATATATAATACTGATAATAATATTTATCACTATAATATATAATATATAATAATATGATATTATAATTATATATTTCATATTACATGAACCAGCTAGGACATTAAGATCTTCTGGGGAGGCCCTGCTCTCGGTCCCGCCTGCATCACAAGTATGGTTGGCGGGGACGAGAGACGGGGCCTTCTCAGTGGTGGCCCCTCGGCTGTGGAACGCCCTCCCTACAGAAATCAGATTGGCCCCCTCCCTGCTAGCATTTTGGAGGGAATTGAAGACCTGGTTGTTTGAGCAGGCATTTGAATAGGCAGTGTAAGTAATATAGAAATATGGAACAATTGGATGACGAGACTGGATCTTGATTTTAACTATGAGATGTTGATGCTTATTGATTGTGATGAGTGTTTATCCTTTTAAATGCTTCTTAACTGTTTTTATCATGTTTTATGTATTGTATTGTGGTTGTGAACTGCTCTGAGTCACCCTGAGGTCTGAGAAGAGCGGTATAAAAATGTAGTAAGTAAGTAAATAAAGAATATATAATACTGATATTGTACCATGCTAATAGTATAATATATTGTATGTCTATATATATCTTGTAAGCTGCTCTGAGTCTCTTTCAGGGTGAGAAGGGCAAAACGGTTCCGGCCCAAGCTACCTATCTGACCGCATCTCTGCCTATGAACCCACCAGGACTTTGAGATCTTCCGGGGAGACCCTGCTCTCGATCCCGCCTGCTTCTCAAGCTCGGCTGGCGGGGACGAGAGATAGGGCCTTCTCGGTGGTGGCTCCTCGGCTGTGGAACGCCCTTCCTACGGACATTAGACTAGCACCATCTCTAATGGTATTCCGGAAAAAGGTGAAGACCTGGATGTTTGTGCAGGCGTTTGAGTAATTTAGTGCAATCTGGTAATGGAACATAGGAATGGAACAATGGACGACGAATCTGGACTACGCTTGGATGATGAGAAGATTGGGTACGGTTGTTTTTTGTAATAATTGTGCATTGTAACTGCTTATTGGTAATTTATGGATAATGTGTTAAGTCAATTGTTATATGTTGTATGGAACCACTGCTGTTTCTACTGTTTTTACTGTTTGTGAACCGCTGTGAGTCGCCTTTGGGCTTGAGATACAGCCGTATAGAAGCAAAGTAAATAAATAAATAATAAATAATCCACTACCAAACTCTCACATTTTGTATTTTCTCTGTTTGTTTGCTTTGTTCTGTTAGAAAGGTAATATAATTTGACTGGTTGTGCTGACACGAGAAATAAACAAACAAATAGTATCATATTATTATTATTATTATTATTAGTATATTGTATTACATTGTTGTTGTTGTTCATTCGTTCAGTCGTCTCTGACTCTTCGTGACCTCATGGACCAGCCTACGCCAGAGCTCCCTGTCGGCCGTTACCACCCCCAGCTCCCTCAAGGTCAGTCCAGTCACTTCAAGGATGCCATCCATCCATCTTGCCCTTGGTCGGCCCCTCTTCCTTTTGCCTTCCACTTTCCCCAGCATAATTGTCTTCTCTAGGCTTTCCTGTCTCCTCATGATGTGGCCAAAGTACTTCAACTTTGTCTCTAGTATCCTTCCCTCCAGTGAGCAGTGGGCTTTATTTCCTGGAGGATGGACTGGTTGGATCTTCTCGCAGTCCAAGGCACTCTCAGAACTTTCCTCCAACACCACAGCTCAAAAGCATCGATCTTCCTTCGCTCAGCCTTCCCTAAGGTCCCGCTCTCACATCCGTAGGTGACTACAGGGAAGACCATGGCTTTGACTAGGCAATGGATCTTTGTTGCCAGTCTGATGTCTCTACTCTTCACTATTATAAATAAGATATGTATATGCATTCCATGACCTGATGAGCCTAGCCCAGGGGAGGGCAGGTGGGGCTACCTGCCTCTCTCTCTCTTGGCTCCCTCTGCCCGAGGGTCCAGGCCAAGGCCAAGGCTCTGGCCTGCTGCTGGGAGTGGAGGGAGGGAGGGAGGGAGGCCCAGAGGCGGAGGCACTGCCATGAGGAGCCACCCAGGGAGGGCCCAGCAGGCCGCAGAGTCGCCTCGCCAGGCCTCCAAGGCTCCCTCCCAAAGGCTAGGCCGCCAAGAAGCAGGAGGAGGAGGAGGCCTGAGCCGGGACAGCAAGGCCGAGGAGGAGGAGGAGGAGGCCGGAGAGGAGGAGCAGGGGCCCCCTCGCTCGCTCGCCCGCCAAGCCCGGAGCCCTGAGGAGGGAGGCAGAGCCTGAGGGGGAAGCCAGGCCCCAGGGATGAAAGGACTCACCTCACCCGCTCTCGCTCTCCTCTTTCCTTGTCAACAGGAAGCACGACACCGAAGCCCCGCCCCGGAAGTGAGGAGCTCACGGGAAAGGCGGCGCCCGAGCCTCCCTCGCCGCTCTAGGAAACCCAGGCTGGCCCCTCTCGCTGCACTTCCGCCAACACCAAACATGGCCATGGCCGCGCGGGGGCTGGGCGCCCAGAGATGGGCGGGGCTTCTTGGCGGCGCTGGCGAGTCAGGAGCAAGAGCGCCAATAGGAATTCGCCTCCCTCTTCGGCGTCACCGGTCTCCGGGCAGAAACTCCCCCAAAGCCTTTTCTCCGCCCTTCCTTCTGCCACGACTGAAAAGAATTCCCAATGGGATCCGCCAATGAGAATGGGCCTCCGCTCTCCGCGTCACCAGTCTCCAGGCAGACCCGCCCCCTGCGCCTTCCGGGCTGAGGCTCCCTCTGGCGGCTGCTGCTGCTGCCCATGCCTGCCATTCAGAGAGAGAGAGAGAGAGGGAGGCCAGCCAGGCTGGAGATGGACCACAGCCTCCCCCAATGTCCACTCAGCCCAATCCCCAAACCTGGCCTCCCTCCCTCCCTCCCTGTTGGGCTGGGCTCCTGTTCTGCTCCCCTTCAGTCTCTCTGTCTGTCTGTCTGTCAGAAATATTGGTTGAATGAATGCAGCTCAATCTAGGCAGCTGGACCTGTAGCTTAGCAGGCCTCAGTGTGAGAAGGCCTCAGTGTGAGAAGGCCTCAGTGTGAGAAGGCCTCAGTGAGAGAGAGAAGCCCCAGGCTGAAGGCCTCAGGTGTCAAGCTCCTTTGTGAAGCTCCTGTGTCAGTTTGGTGTGAGGAGAAGGCTCTGTGAGGGCAACGCTGTTGATCTGCAAGAGGAAGAAGCCCAGGAATAGCCTGTTAGGCCAGGAAGGAAGGAAGGAAGGAAGGAAGGAAGGAAGGAAGGAAGGAAGGAAGGAAGGAAGGAAGGAAGGAAGGAAGGGGAAGGCCTGGGAGTGTGGAAGGAAAGGGAAGCCAATGGAAAGGGTCCCAAGGTTTAGCCCTGCCCTCCTCAGAAGCAGGACAAGAGGAAGTCTGTGTGGAGAGAAGAGGGAGGGTCCCTCAGGAGGGAAAGAGAGGGCAGGGCCCACCCCCAAATACTCCCCAGAGGAGGAGGAGGAGGAGGAGGAGGAGGAGGAGGGAAGCTGCCTTTCCCATGAGGAATGTCAAACTGAACTGACACTGCTCTCCCCCTCTCTCACTCAGACCATCCTCTGCCCACAAACCATCCTCGGCTATGGAACACGCCTGAGGCCGGGCCAGGGAGGGGGGTTGCTGGGAGGGGTG